CCCAGACCGGGGACACCGCTGACCGCTGGGTGCGCCTCTCAGAGCAAGGGGACCATGTGGAGTCCAGGAGCAGAAGGCACTCCTGTTTCCATTTAATAGACTTTTGCAAATGTTAATAATATTATTATTATTAACAATAATAATAATTATTATTATTATAGTAATAATAAGAATAATCGAATAAAAGATTGGACAACTGATATCAATTGCACACTAATGATTTATCAACACTATTTTTTAAATTAGCAATTTTGAAGGATGCTGGAAAGTTAAAGTGACATTAAACCCTCAGATTTTTTAACATAAACCAATACTGTAATGTGTGCCTTACTGTAATCCGTGGTAGTTTCCCTTCTCTTTGCTGCTCTTCCTTTTAAATCCTCATGCCTTCTTAAGCTTGGGGAGGACTTCCCTTTGCAGCTGACTGCTTCTTGTGCTGTAACCTGTGCTGGCTCAGGTTACAAATGTACACACAGACACCATGTATCCCTTCCAGAGACAAGGCAGTCTGCTGCAAAACAGAAGTTCTGCCCAGCATGAGAACAGATACAGATGTAAAAGGAAGAGCAGCAAAGAGAAGGGAAACAACCATGGATTACAGTAAGGCGCACATTACACTATTGGTTCATGTTAAAAAATCTGAGGGTTTAATGTCACTTTAACACCCCACTTATATGTTGCCTGGGGACTCTGTTGGTGAGATCTCTGCTTTGTACACCTGCTGTGCCCATTATGAGGAGCTCCCCCCATCCCTGTGCTGAGTTCCCGGGTCTGTACACCCGCTGTGCCCATTATGAGGAGCTCCCACCATCCCTGTGCTGAGGTCCCGGGTCTGTACACCCGCTGTGCCCATTATGAGGAGCTCCCACCATCCCTGTGCTGAGGTCCCGGGTCTGTACACCCGCTGTGCCCATTATGAGGAGCTCCCACCATCCCTGTGCTGAGGTCCCGGGTCTGTACACCCGCTGTGCCCATTATGAGGAGCTCCCACCATCCCTGTGCTGAGGTCCCGGGTCTGTACACCCGCTGTGCCCATTATGAGGAGCTCCCACCATCCCTGTGCTGAGGTCCCGGGTCTGTACACCCGCTGTGCCCATTATGAGGAGCTCCCACCATCCCTGTGCTGAGGTCCCGGGTCTGTACACCCGCTGTGCCCATTATGAGGAGCTCCCACCATCCCTGTGCTGAGGTCCCGGGTCTGTACACCCGCTGTGCCCATTATGAGGAGCTCCCACCATCCCTGTGCTGAGGTCCCGGGTCTGTACACCCGCTGTGCCCATTATGAGGAGCTCCCACCATCCCTGTGCTGAGGTCCCGGGTCTGTACACCCGCTGTGCCCATTATGAGGAGCTCCCACCATCCCTGTGCTGAGGTCCCGGGTCTGTACACCCGCTGTGCCCATTATGAGGAGCTCCCACCATCCCTGTGCTGAGGTCCCGGGTCTGTACACCCGCTGTGCCCATTATGAGGAGCTCCCACCATCCCTGTGCTGAGGTCCCGGGTCTGTACACCCGCTGTGCCCATTATGAGGAGCTCCCACCATCCCTGTGCTGAGGTCCCGGGTCTGTACACCCGCTGTGCCCATTATGAGGAGCTCCCACCATCCCTGTGCTGAGGTCCCGGGTCTGTACACCCGCTGTGCCCATTATGAGGGGCTCCCGCCATCCCTGCTGGATTTTTAAGTCATTTTATTTGATGGAGAATATAAGAAGAGGATCTGGAACATAAAAAACTGGACATAAATAAGTGGACAGAAGCAGAGTCAGAAATGATGGCAGGGAGTTCCTTATGCTGGAGTATGCAGGGCCTATAAGAAGCCCGGGGCTGACTCAGCACGCCAGGCTCCAAGTATAACTCTAATATTACTATTGGCTGGCTGACCCCCATACATAGTACAATTATCTATACAGATCTCTGCATCAGGCTGACAGCATTTAAAAATAAGCGACAGGATAATCCAGTCTGGATATGAAGTCTAGAGCAATAAATACAATTTTCGCAGTGAATCATCAGTTCCAGTTATACAGATCAGTGCAGCAGATGCGAAAGATGGAAATCCGGGGAGGAAGAAGGGACAGTTATGGAGGAAGAAGGGGCAATTGTGGAGGAAGAAGGGACAGCTATGGAGGAAGAAGGGACAGTTATGGAGGAAGAAGGAGCAATTGTGGAGGAAGGAGGAGCAGATGTGGAGGAAGAAGGGGCAATTGTGGAGGAAGAAGGGGCAATTGTGGAGGAAGAAGGGGCAATTGTGGAGGAAGAAGGGGCAATTGTGGAGGAAGAAGGGGCAGATGTGGAGGAAGAAGGGACAGTTATGGAGGAAGAAGGGACAGTTCTGGAGGAAGAAGGGGCAATTATGGAGGAAGAAGGGGCAGATATGGAGGAAGGAGGAGCAGCTGTGGAGGAAGAAGGGGCATTTGTGGCGTAAGGAGGGTCCGTTGTGGAGGAAGAAGAAAGTACAACTGTGAAGGAAGAAGGATATCTGTGGAGGAAGGAGGGACATCTGAAGAGGAAGAAGATACAGTTTTGGAGGAAGGAGAGACCACTGGGGAGGAAGAAGATACAGTTGTAGAGGACAGAAGAATAGCTGGGGAGGAAGGAGAGACAGTTTTGAAGGACGGAGAGACATCTGGGGAGGAAGAAGATACAGTTGTAGACGGAGGGACAGCTGGGGAGGAGGAAGATACAGTTGTAGACGGAGAGACAGCTGGGGAGGA